TGATTTTAAAAATTTTCAAATCAACGATGGGAAAATCCAAAAACTTAAGACTGAACATCTTGTATTACTTTAAAAAAAATTATCACTTGCTTCTTTTGACAACATCTGCAGATTGGTTTGTATTTTCAAATGATTTCACAGACTATGTGAATGAACTTCGTCTTACTAAATTAATATATTTTAGTTCTACAATACAAATATTATTCAATAGTCATAAAAGGAACACAATTTCAAGTAAAGTTTATCTTCAGAATACCCAGCTATTTCTCAGAAAGCGATATTACCATTATCTATATCATTGGGAACAAGCATTTTCTGCTCTGAACAATATAAAATTAGCTAGTAGAAATCATTTAAAAAATATTGAACCTGATTTGTGTATTGCTGTTTCAACTTTTTCACCGCGAATAGAGGAAAACAATGAAAAACAACAGTTTCAAATATCGCATTAAATTTGTATCATTTAATTATAACAAAATAATATTAATAAGACATTGTGTATATTCATCATTATTTATTTATTTAAATTATTTTAAAATGAACAAGTGTGCCACTAAGAAAAAAAGGTTGGTCTGATCTTAATCCAACCATTAAATACTTACTAAAAGGTGTAACTACTTATCCAAAATTCATAGAAATATACAAAATAATATTGTTTTGGAATAAGGAATTAAAAATGCATGTTGTAATTAAAAAATAAAAATAAAAATAACAAAGATAAAAAAATATTATTTTTTCAAAAATGTTGATGTTTTTTTTTTAAATAATGAGATTTTGTGTTAAATTAATTACTCTGTATAATATATATACAACACACATACATAAATTAAGAGGACGCCACACCCGCACATGTTGTCTCCGTCGTACAAGTCCATAGCGTAGCAAATTTTACACTCAGCAAATCACGTTTATCTCCGTCAATTTAAAATTTAGAGTAAATTGACCTATTATAAAAATTAAAGGCAAGATTATTACCGAGGGCATCTCATAGGCTTTTTATTATATTTTAATTTTAAAGCGAGTTATGAATATTTTAAAATTCTAAATTATTTTTATATCTAAAAATACTCATAACTTAATGTTTAAAATTAAAATATAATAAAAAGCCTATGATATGCCCTCGGTAATAATCTTGCCTTTAATTTTTATAATAGGTCAATTCACTCTAAATTTAAAATTGACGGAGATAAACGTGATTTGCTAAGCGTACAATTTGCTATGCTACGCACTTGTACGACGAAGACAACACATGCGGGTGTGGCGTCCTCTTAAAAATAACAGAATTAATTAAAATATTTTTCATTAGTACCAATAGAAAATAATTTTTAAAAAAGGAGGGCCAATAGGCACCACACCGCTGTATAGTAGATATCAAGTGGCCTGTAATGGCTATATTAAATTCGAATTCAATGATTTTTTTTATCAATTATCATTATATACAAAAATCGATTGAGTGAAGATATTCTGTATTCCTATGTATGTCAGATGATACATTTCATGATATTACTRTTAGTATTATGAAAGATTGATTAGATTTTTAGTGACAATATTGCATTTTTAAATTATTATATTAATGTTATAGAAAATGTTATAACTTATAATATAATATATAAAAGTTGTAAGACCACATAAATAATGTTTTTGATTTAAAAAAAAAAAATAATATAGTTATTCTTCATTTGAATATAAATATATAWTAAAAAACTTTATTTATATATATWTTTTTTATTTTTTTGGAATAATATTAACTGTTAATAAATTTAGTTTATATAGCTAAGTTTTAAATTTTTTATCAAAATTATAAATTTTGATCATCTTTTAACTTGAGAATCAAAGCATCCACTTATTATGAACATATAGCACAGTACACACAAAAATTAATTAATCGAAAATTCAATACATTCATTGATCCATTTAGAATCTGAGTACTTATTATTATTATAATACCTTGCATAGGAATTCGACAGGAGTTGACATTTTTTTCTCACTAATTTTTTCATATTTCTGCCTTTTTGTTGCTGCCTAAAACAATTTAATAATAATAATAATAATAATAATAATAATAATAATAATAATAATTTATAAAATAACTTATATACTAATATTATTAAATCTATTTTAAATAAGCATTCACAATTCAAAGTTAATTATTGTACCTTTAATCCTTGCCATGGCAAACATCCTTTATTAAAATACATAAGTACATATCCCAAGGATTCAATATCATCCCGACGGCTAAAATTTATAAAAAAATTTAATTTAAAAACATCCAAAGACTAAAAAAAATGTTAATTTATGTTATAATTACCTCTGTTCAATTCCTAAATGAGCATTGATAGAGGCATAACGGGCTGTTCCTGTAAGATTTTTATCCTCACGGTACGAAATATGCGTTCTTGTACGCATATCTCTATATTTTTTAGCCAATCCAAAATCAATAAGAAACAACTAAAAATATGGARTTTTATTTAAATTATAATTTAATTCCTAACAGAATGGTATAATTTACTTTATTGCAATGACGTCCAATTCCCATAAGAAAGTTGTCCGGTTTAATATCACGGTGAATAAAACTTTTACAGTGTACATACTCAATACGGCTGATCATTTGATCGGCAAGCATAAGCACTGTTTTAAGTGTAAATCGCCGCGAACAAAAATTGAATAAGTCTTCCAATGATGGACCCAGTAAGTCCATCACTAAGATGTTGTAGTTCCTTTCTAATCCAAACCATCTATAACAAAAAAGAATTAATTTTTTTTTACTTTCGATC